TACTCTACTCTCTCTCTCTCTCTCTCTCTCTCTCTCTCTCTCTCTCTCTCTCTCTCTCTCTGCAACCTTAACTATGACAAAGCCGATTATGCTCGTATTACTTCCTTAACTATGACAACAATGCTTGTATAGCAGAGCTAAATATACAACTATTGCTCACAGTTTTCAATTTTTTATTCTTATTTTATGAAAAATTATTAAAATACTCATGAGAGTTGTACTATGTACCATTTTACATATTTAAAACCATTCTAATTCATGATCGATGTGTGGTTTTATCGGTATTTTTAAATTAAATCAAACAATATAGGTAGAATGATAAATAGTATATTTTTCATGAGTATAATAAAATCCTTCTGTAAAGGAAGGAATACGGCTGGTGTCGCTGTGGTAGCATCCTCAGGCCCAATTACCACATCACACCTCAAATTAACAATTTCAAAATGTAACTCTTTAATCTATTGAAAAAATGAATAGGGACTATCTTTCTCACTGAATTACCCAAAAAACAAAACACAAAACACAAAATCTATCTTTAATCAGAAAATTCCAACAAAGCAAAAGGTATTTTTCATCACTTTCAAAATGTAACTCTCTAATCTATTGAAAAAACGGATAGGCAAAGGGTATTTTTCATCACTTTCAAATTGTAACTCTCTAATCTATTAAAAAAACGGGTAAGGAAAGACAAAGGTAGGGCATGTCTTCCCCACCAAATTACCCAAAAACAAAACACAAAATCCGCCTTTAATCAGAAAATTCCAACAAACAAAGAGTATTTTTCATCACTTTCAAAATATAACTCTCTAATCTATTGAAAAAACAGTTAGGGACCTGTCTTCTCCACTGAATTACCCAAAAAACAAATCACAAAATCCATCTTTAATCAGAAAATTCCAGCAAACAAGGGGTATTTTTCATCTTTAAGGAATAACAAGATGAAAACAATTTAAGAGGCCGGGTCTTGTTTTTCTTAATGAAAGAAACTCCGTGGCCCTTTCTTCTGGAGGTATCATACGTAGCGAATATGTGGGTCCCCCATAACTGTAGCTCACCAATTCGTTAAAATGACCAAAATTCCAAATTTGTACCAACAATCACTCCATTTCACCAAAGAAATCTAGTTTCGGCCCTTCCCTCCTGGAGCCCATCTTAACCTTTAATATCAATATCCAAAATGGATTTGGAGCCCCATAAATGCTCATCCACAATGCTATCTCAAGCTCTGTTTGGATCATTTTATTTATTTATTTTCTGAGGGATGGGATGGGGGCATTTGTTTTTCCTCTCCAATAGCTATATACTTCGAATGTTTTAGATGCGCTGCAATCTTTCAGATTTCACATCTAATGGATAAGAATAATTGTGCTCGATGATCTTGTTGTATACAGTCCCCTTATTAGATTATGCTCAACACTTCTTCCAAATGGCTAAAAATACTCGAAAAACATTATGTTATCAAGATTCCAACAACGACCATGTAGGCATTCATCTCTGCCAAATTGTCAAAATTGGTGCACCAAAACGCCCCTGATGATTCGAAATATAACTGGTCAGATGCCATAAAAAAACCCCTATCTACTAAACTGCCACTAAAGTATTTTTCATTTTGGTGAAGAATTAAACTGCCACTAAAGTTCCAGTTTTGCCCGAAAACTGGATATTCTTATTGTTATTATTTTTTCTTTTTTTCTATTTCTTTTCTTTTTGAAGTGACATAGTATCCCTATGCTTATGTATTCTCCGAGTCCATTTTGAAATGGCACATATACTAAAAAAACTATAATATTTCTTCAAAATGCAAAATGGGCACATTTCCAACAACAACCCCAACCCTTTTCCCACCACTAACACCTTCAAAAAGCTAACTCATAATCTACTTTAAAAAATGGGTAGACCCCTTTCCCACCACTAACACCTTCAAAAAGCTACCTCATAATCTTCTTGAAAAAATAGGTAGAGCCATATCTTCCCCATTGAATTACCCAAAATAAAAAACAATCATTGCAATATAACTGACATTATTGGCCGTCGTTTGCAGAAGCTTAGGAAATCTTTAAAAGAAAATGGAGCGCTAGGTTCGAGAGATATCACTAAATTACCACATTTATGGTCGTTTCAGCGTAGCCGAACAGGTGGGACGGCCCAGCTTGAGCTTGGACTCGAGCCTGAACCACCCATCTTGAGCTTGGCTTGATTGGGTGGAAGTGAGATTTTGAGATTGATTTTTCTAAGATTTGTCCACTTCACAAAGTCATTAATATCTAGACTATATGATAGGATGTCTCGAATTGAGTTTATATTAACAAGTAAATTTGATTTCGCTGGATTAGCAAATTCTTGCTCGCAAGCTCCGCTTGAGTTATTGTCGAGCCAAACAATTTCGCTAGGGCTGAGCCAAGCAACCTGGCTTGGCTTGTTGATACCCCAATTGGGAACATCTCTTATTTGCATATGTAAATATTGTTCCTGTAAACATGTTCCTCTCAAATTATTTCAGCAAACCAAACGACCCTAAATTTCAATCGATCTCTCTTTCAAAGATGATGTGTGAACTAACATTTAATGTGCGAAACTTAGGCATTTCAAGCGTCATGGTCAGCGGCGTGTAAGGTCGAAGGTTCAACCATCAATGTTCCAGCTGAGTTTGTGTTCCTAGTCGGGCCGATATCTTTCTCCGGCCCCTATTGCAAACCCAATATTGTTTTTAAGGTATCTCTCTCTCTCTC